AAAAWYSMAATTTYMRKTTTTTTTCCTTTGTCCACTTTGGATGATCCTGCAAATAGTTATTCTGCCAACGCGGGCGCATCTTTTTTCAGAGGGGTAACCGGAAATGGCGTCCCAATAGCCGAGTTTAATACATTTTTTTCCAAAAATTTTAAAATTTCTTTGTTAAAAGTGTATGTTTGTAACAATAAAAAGTGTTAATAAAATATTTATTTTTTTATATGAGGAAAAATTGTTGAAAAAAGTCTGTTTTTTACCCAAGGGAACCCATGTCGCGATAAGTCAATTATCTGCTAGTATATAGTAGAATAGTATTTACAAAATGCTTTGTAAAAGTTACTTTAAACAATGTTACAAACTTGCCGCACTGAATAATGATTTTGAATTTTATTAATTTTTTATAGAAATATGTATTTAAATACATGCAAAAACATTTTGGTGGAACTATGTACTTTAATCTGACATGGTTATTTAAACTTATGTTTAGTTTGTATTCAACACGATCAAAGCTCAAATTTTGTTTAGGGGGAAGCTCTGTTTTATTCTGATCTTTTTTACACTATTGAGCCCAGTTTGGCAATATAGGGTTTTTTTATGCAGAAATATTGAAGCATAAGTACGAGTAAACTAATATTCAGGTTTCATTGTGAAAAATTTTATTTTTTGCGAAATTATTTCTTATATATAGAATATATTTAATTGAATATCAGTTACTCTCAACGTAACAAAGCTTGCTGTGTTAAGAACGCTTTAACGTTATTCAAACAGTCTAGAGAGTGATCAAGCTGATGAAAAATAAAAAATTAAAAATTAATTATAATTAGAGAAAAACCAAAATTATAAGCTTTTTCCAGCTTTTATTGGAGCTTTTGCTAGCTTTTATGGGAGCTTTTGCCAGCTTTTATGGGAACTTTTGCTTGCCATAATACTATGTGTGCCTACCAGTCGAGCCCGCAGTTGCTTTTCGGACAGCATGCTCGTGTAAAAATTTCTGTAAAMAATTGTGAAATTTTTACCATTTGWGATCTATGATTATYAAAAGTATTAAATTGGTGGCAAAAAAATGATAAGGATAATAGATCTTGAAATTTCYTGAAATGATTACGTTTGGTTATTGATATCCAGGCATATTTGCTAATCAACAGCAAATAAGGAGTACAAATACACACACACACAAGTTGTCAACAAATAACAAAAATARTGCCGGAACAGCCGGCTTTACGCGTGGCTATGACAAGTTGAACAAATATGTATATTTGTATATGTATATAACATTCATACATACATATATGCTTTAATAGATGTCTGCTTGAACACATACCCTCCTGAAGCGTTCACAGTCTTATATACTCATATATACAAAATATATTTGGTAAAAGTAATGCCAATTGAAAACGAAAGCTAAACACAGGTTAATACAAAATCTAATAGAGAGGAAGGCTAAATTTAAAACGCAGCACATTTTGGTGTGCTCATTCTCATAGTACATATGCTCATATATATATTTACATATGCGTATATATCAACACATAAAGCCGTTATACAATTTAAAATAATTTKTGACAGCTCTTCGATGAGACTACCTGGACCTACACGCACCTGCTGGCCGATTTGAATACGAGAGAGGTGGAGATTATTGATCCAGTACAGGAGAAGGCCAAACGTGATGCAAATCTAGTTAAGGATCTATTTCTATCAGGGATCAAGATTTCTATTGTTCCGTATTTTTTTGTTGCTCCGCGATGTTGTAGTTGCTGTTATTTAACGTGCAGACAACGCAATTTTAGAGCGCCAATTATTTTTGTGGAATAACAAATTATATAATATATTAATTATAGYGATTAGTGATAGCAAGCAAAACTTACAAGAAATAAGGAARATACTGAAAATACGGAAAATAATGCAAATGTAGAGTCGCAAAATTGAACCAAACGAGTTGCTCTCTTTAATTTCGATAATTAATACCTTACATTGTAAAACCCGAATTGCAGTGCATAGTTTTTATTATTCTTAATATTAATTGCAAGCATTGTTTAACTCTTACTAACTGCATTTCCTGTAATGCTCTCAGAAAAAATATTGCTTGCTTGAAAGAGTCTATCCTGATATCCAATTTTAAAGAAAATATATAAGTGAGTATAAGCTTMTTTGTAATAGAATCAATACATAAAGGTGTTTCGATAAATCAATAAATTTTATTCAACTRTATAACTTTAGATTTAAACAAAGAGCTCAGAGTATTAGTGAATTTCGAGTTTCCTTACTTTTTTGAAGGGATCATTTTTTTTTGAATTTTTATTCGAAAATAGAACTTTTTTCACATATCATGAGGTATATCGTGGAGTGTATTAACAAATTTTTTCGGAATTTTTTAATGATATATGTCGGAGAAATGGCTGGGTGAATGAGATGCGTTATTTCACTGACGGACACGATTTCTCATGTTTGGAAACACAAAAACTCTATTTTCTTAAAAAGTACTAGAATCATGAAAAAATGTTTATCATTAAAAAAGTAATTAACGCTCTTTTTTGAAATTTTTCTCCATGTATTTTTACATAAATTTTCGGCATAACATTGTCAATAAATTATACAAAATTATTAATCTMGTAGGGACGATAGCCAGGCATGAACATTTAAAAGAAAAAWTTAAGCAAATCGGTTGAGTAGTTCGAYCGGAATCATGTCTGCCATTTTAAAAAAGTGTGTTTTTGAGAAAAACGTGCMCAAAGAAGGGTGACATTTCAATTTAAACTGCGCGCGTCGAAGGATTTGGAGAATTTTTTTTTTTTAAGTTGGTAGTTCTGTCAGTCACATTTATATCACATTTCATGTCAAAATATTCATTAGTGTTTGAAACACTTGTCATTTTGCGAGCTGCTAAAAGTGAGTTTTTCGTTTTTTGCGATGTCGAAATTTGTTGAGCAAAGAATTTGAATTAAATGATCATTTCGCTAAAAACTCAACCCATATCGTTCCGCAACCACCATATGCACCTGATCTGGCGCCATGCGACTTCTGGCTGTTCACCCAGCTCAAAAGACCGCTCCGGGGACACCGTTTTAATACGATATTCAAGAAGCAGCGAAGACGGAACTGAAGGCCATCGCGGAAAGTGACTACAAACAGTGCTTCGAAGATTGGAAAATCCGTTGGCATAATGTATACTACATCTAGTGGGGATTACTTTGAAGGAGATGTAATTGATTTGGAAGAATAAATAAAGAATTTTCAAAATAAATACAATGTCAGCTTATTTTTTGGGCACAGTACTAGAATATAAGTTAGACTCCACCAATAGCAACCAAACAAAACAGCAAACAAATTAGTTATCAATCACTCAAAATCCCACTAAATAACATATTTACACATCTACCATTTCCATATACATAGTGAACACAMATATGCACGCAGATCACATCACTGGCAGGGGTTGGCTCAAGTAATTGTTATCCCGCACCAAATCGGCGGTGCTAAGGCAGATATACACATCAACGAGATGATTTGGACGTCACCACATCGACACTTTCCAAAGGTTTGTGTTTGAGTCAAAATATTTGATATTTTTTGGGAGTATCATCTAAAGTAMAAGAAYGCGTGTTTTAGTTAAAACYTTATTTTAGACTTTGGACGAAGGAAATAAAACTGAAAATTGGATTTTGGCAGATATTTTTACAAAAAATTAAAATTTCACGACTTTTTTTTCAAATAATTGTAATCGAAGAAAAATAATTCTTCATCAAAAATCTTTTCAACCGACTTCTAGAACACAGTTTCGAGCAAAACGCGTTTAAGGGCGGTGCACTTATCCTAGCTAGCCTCGAGACCACAGGTTCTTAAGGTTGTATCTCCGAAACTATTARTCAGATAAAATTTAAAAATTAGCACAATATTCTAGGGGTATTTTAGAATTTAAAAAGACTATAAAAAAAAATCGATTGACCGGTGAACCAATGCAATCCYTTAAGAACGGTATGGCTCAAAGTTTAAGGTTAGGAACGATTAGTCATTTCGTTATCAAATATCAAAATCGGGCAACTAGGACAAAAAGTATGGAAATMTAAACTGTTAAAATACTTTATTCATCATTTTATTTTAAAACTAAATATTTAAGTCAAGGGTTATACGGCTGTCAGGAAATAAAGTGGGATTTATTAGAAACTTGTTCYAAGATGGATCCCAAGCTATGGATTTCTGGTTCTATAATTAAGTACATTTATCAAATAGATTATGTTAGGTTATTAAGGTTCGTTATGACATAGCCTGAATATTTGAAACACAGTAATTATATTTTCTCACATTCTWGTTTAGAAAAATACACCAAAACGCCGAACACTATATTTGCTTAAAAAACAACCAAGATTTCAAATAMYGAAACAAAGTTATAACCTCGATATTAATTTTCGAATTTTCTTTTTTCACTTTTAGACAACACTAAATCACCGAAGAAGAAATCACCGATCCAGCAAATACACCACACCACGAGGCAAACCTCATTAATAGCGCACAAACGCAAAACGCCACAACGGAGCGAGGCCGCAAAGTGTCTTCGCTCGGCGATACACCTTTCGCGCGTTCGTGTCGCAGTGAAACGAAAGAACTAAGCTCGGCACTGCGAGATCGCGAGGCATTTATACGAAATCTACGCATACAGTTCTGAATGGGCAAATTACCACGCCTTACCGGACCACATCTCGATGACAGCGAAAGCAGAGGTTAAAAGCTGAAGCGCAAAATACGCCGTACATGCGACTACCGTCCGCTGGGCCGCGCTCACCAAACCCGATCAGCCCGGTTTCTATGTGGAATGGGCACTCGAAGGTGATGGACTCTACAAAGGTGATCGCATATTCGAGGTCAATGGCAAGATGATTGCCTGTCGCACCAAAGAGGGACGGCACAAAGCCATCAGCAATTCAGGCATATGTCAAATAGTGGTGCTGCGCAAAAAATGTGCGCCGACACCACAAAAACAGCTAGATCAAGAGAACGAAAACAATATGCGTCTACAGCATCGCATATTCTATCTCGACGAGCAAGTGCGTGAATTGCAATCGGCGAAGGAGCAGCCGCAACAACTGCAAGCTACGGCGCAGACGTCACAAAACTAAACGACACTGATCAAGGAGAATACACAACAGGAACTGCAACAAGAGCGTACATCGCGTATCAGCGCGCCGCCTGTCTACACCTGCATGTCACCGAAATCTTTGTTCGCCTCCCAGATCTCGATCAACAGCGACTATGCGTACATACAACATACCCATTATTGTCGCAATAAGAAAAATTTCTTTCTCTCTAATTTTCCGCGCACAGCATGGAAAGTCTTTGAATCGCTGCGAATGTTAGAAAAAGCTGGTGCTTGTACGTTTTATCAAAAACACAATCCTAGAACGGTACAACACTTTACAAGAATTTCTAGAGACCTCTTCAACTGAAGAAAATATAAAAAAAGTGAAGGATATGCTGCTTGAAAATCGTCAGTCATGTGTTAGGGAGATGGCAGGAGAGCTTGAGCCTATTCGAATAATTTTGGTGGATATTTTCAGTTCTTGCTAAGCTGATCCCGATAAAGCTGACTTTTTCAAACAAAGTACCGTATGTCTTACGTAGAGCATTTTAATTGCCAATGAGACATTGGCTTATGAGTTTGGCATGCAGCTTCTATTTGACTTTGTTGAGGCGTTTGCGTGAGAGCATCCGTCAAAAACGTCTGGAATTGTGTAAGAACCATTCATGGATTTTACACGATGATAATGCACCATCGCATCGAGCCAAGATTGTGACTGAATTTAAAGCCGAAAATTCAATAAATATCATTAATCAACAGTCGTATTAACCAGAATTGGCTTAGTGTAATGTTTTCTTGTTCCCACAACTAAATTGCTTATGAAACATGATATGCAAAAAAAATCAGCGCAAATGGAATGGCAGCAATGGAAGTGGACGTAATCATGTGTTTTTCAGTGTTTCATAGCGGTGGATGAGTGACTATCTGGTGCTCCCGATTTTAACCCATCGGACAACAGTTTGTTGTTATAGTTGGAGAACAACACCCGACGAATACCCTACAGCTCTGGTCTTATCTCTCGAGCAGCGTCGTCAGTACCAATAGAAACTGTGCGTGCTGCTTTTGAACAATGGCCGAAATGTTTAAAGGTTTGTGTGAAAGCAAAAGGTCACCAGTTAGGTTTTTAGATCGCTAAATTATAATATATTGTAATATATATTATTAACGACAATGAACTTTAAAACAAAATGTATGGTATTTAAATTTTTATCCGGCCTGAATTTGTAACAGAACTTATGGCAGGATTAAATTATAAATTATAGAAATAGATCCATATATTTCTATTGTGCATGCTTAACCTATTCTCTTATGTATCCTCCTACTATACACTACTGCACAACTGCTAACTAAAAACCCTGATTTAATTTGTTTGTACTTACATGGTTCCAAGCGTATATGGCAATTGCGCACTTCACAGAAAGATTTCATAAGCTCCGCTTCAGAACCCAAATAAGATATA